GTAGAGCAGAAAATGAGAGCACTTAATTGTGCTGTAAGGTCTGAATCAACAGCTCATTTGTTCTAAGCAACAATCAAGGAAAGTGCTGAATCTGACCACTGCTCAACAAAAATACTTTGGAACACTTGTTACGTTCAACAATCATACCATTAAGGATCAGCAGTGATAACGTTCCTCTGCAAACAACTAAGCCCTTGGAACTCCTTCTGCATATGGACTATCAGCCATAATTAATGGTACAATCATCTGCACACTTACCTGGCTGCAAATGCCAGTGAACTAAATGGGCTTACTTCTGAGCAAACTGTATTCTGAGTGATACTTAAGAAGCAGCACAAGTGACAGGAACTCTTTCAATCTTTTTTCCATTTACATGTATTGTGTAATGTATCTCTGCAATGTGCCAACACACTTGGAAATTGTAAAATGTAACTGAAGATAGAATATATGTTTGTATTTTCTTTATGTTCTATATTTCTTATTTTACTCTTGAATCTAGACAGCATAACATTTTATTGGCCCAGGATGCAGTGATAGCATCTGATAATTTTTCAGTTCATGCCAAGCATTTTATAATCTCTCCAACAATTTATTGGGTATCAGATCAATTTTACATTAATTTTTTCGCAATATTTATTTCCAAAAAAACCAAACTTATGTCAGAATCATCTGATTTCATATGAATTTTTATTCTGTAATTTAGTCCTAATAAACAGCAGCCACATGAAATGGGGTAAAAAGAGAAGATAAACACTACAAATAACACCGGAAAAATATTGGTGGCAAGTCTGATGAAAAGTTTGATTGAAAAGTAGAAAGGCCTCCTTTTTTGTTGTCCCCTGTGGCCTCCCTAACAAGGTGGAAGAAGAAAGCTCTTGCCTTACTGAGGTTTCTCTAAGGAAAGATAAGAAAGACTGAAAAGGACACAGGAAAGGAAAAACTTTCTCAACTTAAAGTTACGTGGCGCACTAGGGAAAGGGAGAGGAGGAAATGGGAAATTGGAATGCAAGACATCGTTTTGAGAACAGATCAGCAGCAATGCTGCAGACTTCTTGACAAGCTAATTAAAAAAAAATCTTTCTCCCTATACCAAAATAATTTAAGTAATAAATAAAAAGTAAAACCATCTTCAAACAGATAGGCAGACCAAGTTTTTTTTTTACTCTAGAAATCTGATTCTGGTTTGGTAAAATACCCCTGTAACCCTAACAAATTACTGTAGAACTAGGAAATATCAAGAACATGCTAAACAAATTCTTTGGATCCAAACTGAGATCACTGAAGAGAAACCCAGAATTAAAAATAAAAGTAAACATTAAAACTGGGAGGGAAGTAATTAGTTAATAATACTTTCAAAACTGTATTCTAATACAAAACAATTTAGCTAATTTTTTGCTTTCAATATATCAGCAACAGGGACACATTCTTAAGATTTTCTACTCCAGTACTGCATGTACTCCTGCTCTGGAAGAAAATTCTGATAATCAGCATATAAGAACAGAAATACGGCACTGTGTGCTCTCTACAAATTTCCACCACTTGTTTCTTTTAGGTAGCACATTCATTTTTGGTAGATTGGCCAGAAACCTATTACATACATATACTGTACAGTATCCACATTACATATACAGATACATCAAACGATGTAAACTGCTGTAGCAAAATACCACTAGCTGGCATGTAACAAGGAATACAAGCATCGATGCCTTATAGCCAGCAGCAATTAACTGCTACAAATTATGCTGTCTGACTTGCACAACATATATTTTGTAAAAGGATGCTGGCCATTAACCCACACTACTAATTCTAAATCAAAGATTTTATAGAAGCTGCTACAGTTTAGTAGAACTATGGGAAATTGTTATTTTAAATATAGATACATGAGAGGCAAGAAATTCAGTTCTTGAATAACAGAAGTCTTTTCCATAGCTTTTTGGGCTTCCATGATTTAGCAAATATAACATTTCAACAGTAAGAAGGACTGTGAATCTTATCTAAATGTTTTTAAAAAGATGAGCTCCACAAAAATACACATCCATTAAATGATGCACAGGCATATCAATGGAAACCCATAGATTTTTATCAAATTGATTGCTAAAAGACATCTGACATTTTCTGACAAAACAATCTCAAGCAAAATGACAATATGGAAGCATCATTTCTTGTGTACTTTAGATATTGTTCCCAAAGTAACATTGAATCTGATGTATTAATACATTTCAGTTAACAAATTAACAAAGTTATGGCTATGGGACAAACAGCAGATACTGTTAATTTTGAATACACATTACAGATATCCTTAGTAACCCTTCAATATGGAGCAGAAATCCAATTCAGTGAGAACATTTTGCCAAATATTCTCTCCTTCTGTGTCCTGAGAAAAATGAAAATATATTTTTGTTTCCTTGTAGCTTATATACAGTGGCTGGCTGTTTTGGAAGCCAGAGCAATCTAAGCAGCTACAGATATTTGACATATACTGTGAATATACATATACTCTAATCAGTGATGCGGATTTTCTGAAAAAATCTGAGTTGAAAAAAATACCAGGGTACCAAAGGTCAGAATCCTATTATTTACACCCATCAGTGTAATTCCATCAGTGTAAATTGCATACCAGTCACATGCCTCAACACCAACAAGAAATCTCTACACTGATTTTTTTAACTTGCATCAATTCAAAACTTTACATCAATGAATTTATTTTGGCATAATTTTTCAACTGGATTCTGGCCATTACTTTTTAATGACCCACAATGCATAAGCATTTCAACTAAATTATATGGTATAGGGGTTAGAGTGTCAGACTATTCATGAGACCTGTGTTAAAAATGACACTTAGACATGAGGCACATTGTGTTACTGGAGACAAACCACTCTTTTTCATTTATGCCTCCCTCACAGGGATCTTTAGCACAAGAATGGGCAACATGCCCATGGGCATCAGGTAGTTACTCCAACAGTTCCCAGTTCAACATAAAAAATTATGCAAAATTGCTTATTCCCCATCTCAAGCTATGAGCAGCCTGATTTTGATCTTACATTTTAGCCCGCCTCAGCTACTGTAACTACTTTAGCATATCAACACTCTTTTTACTTGGTAAATCTAAAATATCTTGGAGGACCACAAAGAAATTTAACTTGAAAACCTGTGTGAAGTGGTTAGAAACTAAGAGGTTGTTATGATGATAGAAACTTCCCAAGCCCAAGAAAAAAGATTTGGGCTTGGGAAATTTGCAAAAATGAAATGAACATTGATCAAGCTTTGGTTTCAGTTTTGAACTGACCTACATGGAATTTTTAAGTTGGTATTTGTTTGGATCATTACATTTATTTGCATTTGCATTTATAGCCACACCCTATGTATACTTAACACATATTTCCCAGGGGAAAACATCATTTCAGTACAGCAAAACTGATTTTGGTTCTGATTTAAGTCTTGCATGAGGATACTACTTTGTTGACTACACAAATGTTACATTTTTTTAACAGAGTTTTTTTCTGGAGGACAGTCAACACTGGAAAAAATTTCACCTCATTTTACTGACTATCTTGGGTTATTGACCATCTCCACTGACTGGAGAAAACAACCTGGACAATTTCCTGTTCTATTTACTACCTTGTTTTTATGTATGTATGTATGTCTGCATTTGAAATATGTATACTTTTTCCTCAAGAAGACCTTTGGAAATGCCATTATGTATGTATGTATGTATGTATGTCTGCACTTGAAATATGTATGCTTTTTCCTCAAGAAGACCTTTGGAGATGCCATCCCTTCTTGCAGGACTGATTCAGTTACAAATATTTCTGAGGTCATATTTTTCTACCTGAAAATTAAGAGTTAACCACAATTCTGGATTTTGGCTTATGCCGTCAGATGCGCTGTCCACCAACTCTTCACAGAGAAGTCCTTTCCTACGGCTTTCTCTATGACTGTTTTATCACTTGCAAAATATCCCAAAACCAATTTCATCTCTCCCTACAGAACTGGAAAGCTAGAATTCAGATCTACATAGGTCCAAAGGTATGACAATCATCCTTCATTAACTGTACATACAATGCTATTTTTATGGCATACATTTACAAAACACAGTAGGACCTCCTGGGGTTTGGTTCCAAGGGACCCATGGATACTAAAAACTGTGGATAACACTGTAAAAAAAGAGAGGAAATAGAAAATTATTTTCATATGCATTACCAGAAAATGGGCACTAGAGGGAGCCAGAGACCATACTATGTATTCTTTACTAGCAAGTAATCATAGCATGGTTGATCTGGCTCCCTCTAGAAGCCGGTTCTGGTAATACATATGAAATAGTTTTTCTGATTTTTTTTTCTTTTAATATTTTCAGATTGTGAATAACTGAAACTGCAGATACTGCTCTCACGGATATGGGGGTCCTACTGTATTTTTGATGTGATGTGAAGGTAACAAACAGAGACTTATACTAGTATGATCCACTAGAGCCAATGAATAGTTCATTTACTCATTAACATCCCAAATTAAAAACTACGTTACTAATGAATGTAGAATGAGATACCATCTCTTGAGTCAATTCATAACTGAAAAAAGCTGATACTATGGTCAGGCGAAAGCGACCCATCTCAAGCCTATAGGTTTTACTAACACCTGAGGAAACTGGGCTTTCACTTCCATCTGTGTTACTCAATCCTTTATTATTCCACTTTCAAGCAGATAGCCAGCACAAAAGACGTCAGTGTTTTAGTGAAAGAAGCAAATGTTTGTTCTCACAAAATATTAAGGAAACACAACCATATTCCATTAGGGAAAATGCCCAAAGTTTTGACCTAGAGAATAACACACACGCACAAACACACTCAAATAAATACCATTTCCAACCCCCTTTGAGCCATTTTACCATCTCCCTCAAATGACAAGAATGACAAAGGTGAAAATAAAATCAACTCTTCTGGCACTACTACAAGCAATAAAACAGAACAAAAACCATTAAAATAAAAACGTGTGAAATACCAACCTTCTGCACAGGGCACAACTATCAGAGCTCTGTCAATAAAAACCGTGTTTGTTAGATGCTGGGCCACACCAACACTTGAAGATTCCCGAAATTTAATATAACATACTTTGGAGGAAAACGCGAGTGGTGCATTGCTGTAAGAAAAAGAAAGTAATTAGAGTAAAGTCACCCAGTTTTCTCAGCATTGTTCATTTTTAAATACTACACATGTAAATATGAAATACAAATGCACTTCACTTTGCATTGGCACTAACATTATACTGACTCTCACTCATTAACAGAAGTTAAAGGATCAGGCTGATCTCTTCTGCTGAACCAGAGGTGGGCAAAATGTGTGTCCTGCAGTCCTCCTCAGGAGTGTTTATGTATGGAATTTTCAAGCCTCAGGAGCTTTCTTTTCTTACATTAGGGATTCTCAATGTCATACCCAAGAACCCAAAAAACAAAGTAAGACATGGCCATCTGTTTTGTTTCTTGCATTTTTCAGTGATTTTCCAAGCCTGAATAGTTAATGGCAGATACTGAGGGAGAAAATTCTATCTCCAGGCCTGCCAAGTAGTTCACCTCCATCCCAGACTGATAATACTCAAATTTTTGGCTTACATTACTTTTTAGTTAAATGACAGGGGCCACCTGCTGGAGTGCAGTGTAAAATATCTACACCTGAATTAAAGTATTCTGCGCCCAAAAATTTCTATTCCATACTAAAAAGTTTACAGTCATCCCAAAGTTAAATAACAATAATCATATGCTGTCTAACTTTTTTTTAAATTTAGTTGTACACTTCAGAGTGGTTGTGGTGAGAAATTATTCTGTTACTGTTATTAAACACATGGGGCATGCAAATTAAAAAGGAGGGGAGGACATCCAGTGAGTGATGGGGAACACTGGAAGAATTGTGTATTATGAGTTTAATTTAAAACTGAATTTATCTTTTTGTCTTTAGCTATTTTCCTTTTCTATCCTGCATGTGTCATCTTATTATGAAAATAAAAATTAAAGCAAAAACAAAACAATTGGGAGTCAGAAATTCTTAATAATCTACTCCAAGTCACCAAAAGAGTGATCAATAGACCCTGACTGAGGGACTCCCCACTTTGACCTAGATTTTTCCCTTTTATGCAAGTATTTTCTGCACAAACATGATTTTCCACATTTAAGAATTTTGCTTCATCAACTTTAATCACAGTTAAGGAAAACCTTCAAACAGTTTTTTTAATAAATACATTCTATTCGCAATAGCCTAATCCCTCTTAATCACTAAACTAACAGTCTGCATTTATTCTGTCATTATTGTTTAAAATATACTGTGTATACTAAAATAAAATTGCTTCAAGTACTGTTGAAGAAACATTCCTTTATCCAGCAGTGAGCTTTAAATTTAAAATAGTAAAATCATTAAACTAACATTTTAACATTTGTTCATTTGAAAGAATTAAAAATAATTGTACAAGCAGCTGCATATGGTTTAAGAGCTACAATTATGCTCTTTAAAAGATCTTTAACAAATGGGACAATATTATAATAGTTGCAGTCCTGTTGCAGTAGGTTACTTTATTCATAGGTATGCCTCCGTGATTTTTTTAATGCTCAACTCTAAATACTGTGGTTAGTCTACAAAGTAATAAGGACATTTTAGTATGTTCGCATTTTCCCCATGCCTCCTTTTACCTTCCTTTTCTGCATAAAATGTAGGCTTGGACTATTCAGTTAGCAGGCACTTCCAGGTACCTGTGTTAATAACTATTCTTTGGCCATACAATAATATCTGGTACAGTACTATACTAAGGCTTAAATTAATTGTGACACTATTCAAAGAATTAGGAAATTGTAGTTTCTTTTAGAGGTTAATTGCAGAGAGGGTTATCTTAATTCAAATAAGTGCTGTGGGAGAGAAGGCTAAACCCTCCATGCTAGAGAGCCCTAATGTAACTGTCTCCTGCTGCTACCATTTACTTTCAATAAGCCATTAATACAATCCCTAATTGTTATGTTCGATCTGTTTTAGGCCTGATTTACTGCAGAGTGATCTATAAAACCATAGTGTGTGCTGCAAAGTCTGCAATGTCCAATATCAGCACAGTCTGAACTCTAAAATCCCAAGCTGTTTGTGAAAATTCCAATAGGATCTCTTAATTTTCAGTGACAGGAAACAGAATAGTAGAAGAGGATCAACATCAGTAAGTACAAAAGGGTGTACAAGAAGACAAAATATCCTTACTATATATATATAACTGGTGGTAGCCATCACTGAAAGATCTAGGATTCCTAATATAAACAAACTGCACTCAAAACTTTATGTCAACGTACTGTAGCAGTGAAAAATGCATACATAGTGTTAGACATTGTTAGGAACCATTTGACCTAGAGGCCATTAAAAAGGAACTTCATTACATTTACTCTCTAATTCACATGGTAATATGTGAACTGTGCTGGATTCTATGGAAATTAGTCAAATTCTCTGAGGACAGAATGAGACAGTAACAAATCCAAGGACAGTGTAACTATGAAGGTGAATAGAGCTGTAGTTTGCTGGAAGAACACATGATCTGCTTGTAAAAAAATCCCATGTTCAAGTAAGTCTCAAAAGTCTTCTGTCTGAAAGTCTGGAGAGCTACTGCCAGCCCACCGAATGTTGTTGGAAATAAACTCCCATGAGCTCTAGTCAGCACAGCCAATGGCAAGCAATGCCATAAATTAGTTCAACTCCTGGGTGCTGTACTTTATTTATCTTAGCAAAGCACCTACACTGTAGAAAATATTGAGCTGCATGAACTAACAATGACCAGAGAGCTTCATACTCCTGTAGCAAATGGGCACAAACTATCCTATTCTGTTTTGAATTTTCCTGCACCTTTTGACAAACCATTTTAGGAAAACAGACTGGATGAAATTTGTTATGATTCAGAAAAACAACAGTTATTTCAAACATACAAGTGGCTTACATTTTATAACTAATTGCTAATAGCCTAAATGTGAAAGGCCATTGAACATCTTTGCTCTCACACAACTACATGGACAGTACAGTGAAGATGACTGTATTAGCAGCCATCTTTATTGTACTCGTCTATGAACTAGAAGTCACAGCTGTTTGCTCAACAGCTATTTAGCAGAGAGCGGCTTGTCAAGCGCTTACCTTACACACCGGGTTAGGTTCATCTTGGTTTTAAAATTTGCACAAAGCGCTTGATTTTCTTTTAGGTAATACATACGCATAGAAGGGAAATGGACACTCAAGGGCTCACAGTTTATATTTCACTGCATTGTGATTTAAAACCTCATTTTACTGTTTTGTTTTGTTGTGGTGGTTTTGGATATGCTAGTAGCAGGTAACAAACCTGATGCAAAGAGTCTCTATCTCAATGCAATGATAAGGAGTGAAGTGATTACTTTATAAAACTGAGCACCACTTCTATATAAAAATAATGTGTGACAGTACAGGAGTTAACAAAGATTTATAGCTTATTTTCTAAAACTAGATTGGTTTTGAGAAAATCACATTTACACTGTTGACAATGCTGACTTCACTGGGCAGTTAAGAGAATTTGAATGGAAGAATATATGTGTCTTTCTAAGGGGACCACTGAAAAATAAAGAATGGCTGCAGAAGTGTTCCAAAATTTTTATAATTATAATTTTTATAATCGTAATCAAATAAGAAGTTGGGTAAAGTAAAGTGCCATTAACATGATGAGGAAGCAGGGCTGGAGCAACTCCTCTGTCAGGCATAGGTATCATTAGAATTTTTAGATACTAGAAAACAATGACAGAAAGAAATAGAAGTGTATAAATTGTGCATTGTATGGACACAGCAGACAGGCAGAGGTTTTTTCTTCTTTCATAAGGGCAGAATACAAGGTCATCATAAGCTGAATTGTGGGAAATTCAAGAGTAAAAGAAATATTTCTTCCCAGAATTTATAGCTTAAAGTGCTAATTTCATTACAGGATACAGTAATGAACAGAATAAAGAAACACACAGAGAGAAAAGAAAAAGGTTGCTTCAACCAACACTAGGAAGGCCTATTACACCAGATGCATTTTTGTAAGGAATAAAGTACCAGCATTTCTAGGGAGCTTGTCCCCAAAGAATTGCCGCCTGATACTGAAAGCTCCTTTACTCCCCAATAACTAGGCGACAGACTGATGTGCAAGGCGGTCAACACATTCGTGCCATGGGTTTAAAAAAAAAAGGAGCCCTGAAATATATCAAGTATCTTGTTCGAGGGCTTTCTTAACGAAACGTACGGACAAACATGGCTAAGAGATGCAAGTCTAAAAAGGTCTGCCGTGGTTCTTTCCGCGGGACAGGTAGGCCCAGAGGGCCCGCGGTATCCCCTAGCACCAAAGCCCGGGAAAAGAGTGGCAATGCTGGAGCTGCGCCTTAAGTGAAAAGGGTTCCGAGGACCGGGGAGGGGGGGTTGGGAAAAAAAAAAAAACCGTCACCCGCCGCCATCTTAACTCCGGGCATCTCTATCTCTAAAGCTCCCGCAGCAGCAATCAAACAAACCCCCTGAAAGCCCACAAGCAACATGGCGGAGAAGGCATCCGGTCCGGTTTTCCCTCTCCCTCTTTCCCTCAAGGACCGTCGTTCCCGCCATTCTCTATGGCCTCAAAGGGCCCAGCCGGGCCTCACTTACTCCGGAGGGTAGAGGCGTAACTCCTCGATGTCGCCTAAGAAACCGAAAAGCGTCCTCATCTGCTCGCTAGTGACTGCCGAGGATAAATTGGTGACCTGAATAACTGAAGTCGGCGTCAAAGGGAAGCCAAGCGGCACCCCGATCCCACCGCTGTTCATCATGATGGCGGCTTCTTCACTGTCTCCACCGTTCTAACAACCACAGGGCCGATGAAACGGAAGTCATCATAAAGGAGAAAAAACGTGTCTGTCCTAGAGCGGCCACGTGTCCTGGATATGCGTGGACTCGGTTCCCCCCTGTTGTGGAGGCGGCTGATATGAGAGTTCTTGCGTAGAGCTGAGCCATGAGCGTAAGGGCGTGTTAGTTGGTGATGTGGTGACTGAGAAGGCGACAAGCGGACTTCACTTGATGGTTAGCGAATTAGTGGAAGCGGTGGACATCCATAAATACCACCATACTCTTTGAACTTTGAAGTATCACCATTGTTTCCTTCTCAGTCATCTCAATAACTTCATACAGCAAACGGGAGTTAGCAGCATTGGATTAAAACGAGTCATACTTGTGACTTTTGGTACCTTAATGAAAATATTATTTTGTACTTTTATGAATTTAAAAGATCAAAATATCAAATCCAGCCTCAACTACCTCTGGAGGCCAAAAAAAAAATTGAAACTTAGGTTGTCCTACTTTGGGCAAATTAGAAGGTAGGGCTTTGCGGGGGGGGGGGCAATGCTGGCAAAAATGGAAGGAAAAGAGGAAAACGAATACAAGATGGATTTGCTCCCTATAGGAAGCCACAAGCTTGGGTTTACAAAGGCTGCTGAGCACAGGACATTCTGGAGATACCTCATTCATAGGGTCCCCGTAAGCGAGACAGCACATTACAATAGAAATACTACCGAGTCTTACCTTGAGATTCTTTTGGAAAACTGAGTTTTAACTGTTGCAAACTGTTTCTAACTATTTCCTGAGGGTGTTATTTTAAAAAATTTAAATACCACAATTAGGGATTCAGTTACTTCTGGAGAAAAAGCAGAGTAACTGCTGGCTTCTACATTTTCAGACAGTTATTGCTTTTATGGGTGTTACCAGGTTTTGGAAATCACTCATTCATAGGGTTGCTGTAAATCAGAGGTGACTTGATGGCATATAATAAAAATAACATCACATCAAGTGAGACTTTTATCAGACACTTGCTGTGCCACATACTCAGTATTTTATTACAGCAGAACCAAACCCTGATAACATATTTACTTTGTGATTCAGAGTCTTGTCCCTGCTACTAGTTGCACTAACAGCTCTAGAAACTATGTAAAACAAGAAGTGGCATGCTTAAACATTGAAATACTTGAGATGACTGAACTAAAGTTCAGAATAGGTCATTTTCAATTAGGTATGTGTGTGAGATCAGAGGCGAGGTGGTTGAAGCCCTCGCCGGAGTGTTGTCCTCCTCTGAGAACAGGAGGTACAGACAGACGCACCACCTTCCCATGTCGTGACAGTACAGCAGGGAGTAGGCACCCGGGACTTAGAGCGGGGGGTGACAAAGATGTCGGTATCTACCCAAACCGGGACTGAAAAGGCGGGAACAGAAGAAAGGGGCAGGCCGTTGGTGGAGGCGGGAAGTGGGGATATAAAAGGGAAGAAGGATGACATACCAGGGGGTTGGGAGTTGATATGGATCGAGGATCCCTGGACAGGGAAATGTGAAAAGGTCCGGGTGCCTCGGAAAGAGGCAGATTATCGTCGGAGGAGAGGCTTGCCTCCTCGTCCCTTTTATTTGGGAGGAATCCAAAGCCAGAGAGTGGCGTCGGAGGTTATGGGAAGAGAAAGAAGCAGTGGAGAAGGAAGAACGAGAGAGACGAGCATGGCAACCGGAGGAGGCTTGCCAGAGAGGGTATTCACAGGACCGTGGGCACCCATCTCAGAGAGAGATGAGCCCTTCGACCTGGAGGGGAGAGATGAGGAGACCCTTCCCTTGATTGACCCCGGACTTAGAGGACACTAACCCTTTCAACAAAGGTCTGTGGAATGAGTCAGTTTATAACCCGTTCTTACAAGATGTATGGATGCCCTCATGGGACCCGTTGGCGGCGAGAGATAAAGTTGTTGATGATTTCAAAGTTGCATACCCTACGTTAGATGTACCAATAAATCCAGGTTTTGAGTTCTTAAAGACTAAGCTTCCTGTGTCTATGTACAACCATAAAGAGGTCCCCTTCGAACCCTCACAATGTGCTGCTGGTGGTCCTATCATGCCCAGAAGCTGCCAGATTCCTTTCACTAGTACTGGAGCCTATATGACTAACATCTGTTATGCCAATTTTCCCATAAGTGCTTTGGCCCCTTAATGTAAAGGGTTAAGTTCCTGTTCTGAAATTAATCTGTTACGGGTGAAGTGCACCCATGAGCACCCAGGTGCCTACAGAATTCTGCCTTAGCATCTGTCAGGTCCACTGCCTCTCACCCTTTTCTTCTAAAAAAACAGCATGCTAAAAAGCAAGGTACCGTATTTTTCCGAGTATAAGACTATACTTTTGCCTAAAATCTTTAGACTAAAATTTGAGGGTCATCTTATACATGGAAGTAAGCTGAGAAGAATAACAAGTGGAGGGAAAAGCAGAGATCAAAGCAATCCTGCAGCGCTTTGATCCCTTTCCTCCTACATTTGCTAAGCTCCACTAAGATTTCTTAATTTTGGGTTAGAAAAGGAGGGGCATCTTATACACGGAAAAATACAATACTGCCTTTATTTTTATTTTTAAAAGGCGGTCGAGTCCTAAATAGCCCTCAAAAGCACAGCTACAGTTCAGGGCTCTCTTTTGAGTCATGGCCAGCTGCCCAAAGGAAAAAACAAGAAGTAGTAAACTTGGGGCTGTAGTTTGGGGTAGTTTTGGGGTGCTAGAGGGAAAGGGGAGGAGTGGTCTGGTTTCGCTTGGTGTTTTTTTCTGACCTTTAACCAGAATTTTTTCAATTAATTAACGAAGAAATGAAAGGAGACAAAAAAAAACCTGATTTCAGAGAATATTTGAACATGAAGCAGCATGTTCTCAAGTAGTGTAAGCAAATCTAGTCTAAGAAACTTCCAAAATCTATTTTGAGCTCCATAAGAAATATAAAACTGCCTTCAAGAGACTTTGAGTTTCTTAAGGAAAGCAACAATGGCTTCCTTACTATCTAGAAATTTATGGTTTTTTGTCTTGTAAAGTCTTGTCTAACAAATTTTCTGAAAAATATCTGCCAGATAAAATATGTCTGTCGTAACATCAGCAGGTTTCCCCCATGCTCTTTATTAGATATGAAGGAAACTGTGTCCCAGAGTGTAACAAAACATTTAAGACAGTTTCCCTTGGAAAGCGTCTAGAAGTCTTAGTTATTTTCTTCACATACGTAACTGCCAGAAAATATTCCTGGTGTGGGATTTGATGAAGTTTACAGCTTTTATAACAACTGAAAGTTAAATATTGAGGTGTCCTCACAAGTTGTTAGATACTAGGTGCTCCCTGTGAATTATGCAATTAATAGTAAATACAGATGGTATAAGTATTTTCAGATAGGCGATGAATCCTCTGTATCGACCTACCATAGAAGCATCGGCTGCACAAACAATTATATTCTAAATTGGAATATTGTTCTTTTGACTTCTTAAAAAATAGACAGCCCCTTTTTATCCATTTTAATCTTCCTGGCAAACAACATCTCTTTCACCTGTTCATTACCGTTCCAGAATCTCACATATGCCATGAGAAGAGCATCGTTATCTTGTAAGGTAGTTTCATCCAACTGTAATGATAATTTATTGAACTGAATTGATCAATCCCTCTCTCAATGTCATGTGCTATCTCATAGATTCTTCTGACAACAATAGAGTGATTCAAATGAGTTGCCTGAATTGTTTATTTGGCACTCAAATTCATGGCATCAAATATTATTACAGACACTGAAGGCAGGATAACTCACCAATGTTATGAACATTTCCAGTTTACTAATTTTTGATGATGCAACAAGACCCTTGTCTAGTTTTTGTGATGTTTAAGTCGGTGTTCACCTTCTCTCGAAGGCTTTTTAAAGAAATCCAAGGGTTTATCTTCCTTCTCTGGATGCAAGGAATCCAAATGTTTTGTTTTTCAATTTGCTTGGCCTCATTGCTTTAATTTGAAAATGTAGTCAGGCAGTTCAAACACATAGGCAAAGATGGGTTTTGCAGAAATGCAATGAAACCATATAAATATTCCACAGAATACTGCCAACATTTTTTCACCAAGAAACTCATGGGTAGAACTATTTCTGAAATTAATTTTAAAAATAGGAAAACAATAATAAAAGAAAGAACAAATATCATGTACTGTATACTTGATTATAAGTCAAGACATTTAGGTCTTAAAATTTATCCTAAAAACCGAGGTTGACATATACACAAATGTGCATGCGCATGCGTCTGTGCACACGCATACGCACACACACACACGCACACACACACGCACACAGCAATACAGAGAGAAGTACCTTGCAGCTGCTTTGCTGCATTCATGGCTGGCTTCCAATAAAAATAGGCAGGGTGCCTGCATCAGCAATTGCTGGGGAGGCAGCTGGCAGAACTGCCTGAGCAGATTAGTTTGTAATTACAGCTGTCTTCCAATAAAAAAGAAGGGCGACTGGCTTCCAATGAAAAAAAGTGCCTGCATCAACAATCACTGGGGAGGTAGCAGACAGAGTTGCTTGTGTTCTAGAGAAGCCATGAAAACAGCAGGGAGCCTGCTGTTAGAGCCATGCTGCTTGGGTATTTAAACTATTCAGTTGTCAGCCCCCCCTGCAAACCTTTGGGGCTCCCATTCGCTCAGATTTCAGTCTGTGGCCCCCTTCAGATGTTCAAGGGGGCCCAAGGCCCCCCATTGAGAATGAATGGCTGCACTACACCACACTGGGAATCAGGCATATTACATAGGCATACTATCTCTTAATTTTGAATTTAATGGATTTTTCTTGGGGTTTTTTTATTGCTATGTCTCATATAATAAAGCAGTAAATTCAATTATGAAGAGCTACCTTAGGGTGGTAAGTTGACATAATTCCTATGAGATTTCAAGGGTAGGAAGAAGCCAGCAATGTATTTTGCTTGGAGTATGGCGTACATGTCTGTTAACATGCTTGTTTATGTTGTGTCTTTTCTGTTTTTCCTTTCATTGCAAGTATGTGATTTAACATTTGGAGCTCTGACCTTTTTACTTGTTTCTTTACCTAGTGATTTTCCCTTGAGACTCATCCGTTTGCCTTCTTTGAAAAAAGTATTCAAGCAGAAAACTCTGGTTTCAAAAGTAGATTGTATTTAAGAACCCAGACCCTAGCTTGTACTTACACTGTTGGGCAAAATATATTTTTAGTGTCACAGACAGAAAGCCATTTTGTGATCTGCCACTGACTTCACATACTATCACTATTAAAAAGAAATGTATTTCAAATTGCACTCTTACCTTGTAACAAGCCTTCCAAAACAGTCTCATTGTATAGGCCATGTCTGAACCCATTTTTTATTAACTCTTGCAAATAATAGTATTCTGATAGATCAGAAAAACTGGTGGAAAACATTACTACGATAATCTCTATAATGAAGCCTTCCATGAAGAGATTGGATATGCCCTCTTTTATTGGCACTTATAGTGAAAGCATTCATATTGGCATATGGCCACTAATATGAAAACACTTTCACTTACTGGTGCTGTTTTAAACAACTCCACCTTAAGAGGCAAGGCATAGAGCTTCGCAACTAGTGGATATGGAATTAAATCTTAGCTTTTACCCATTCAATCTATTCCAATCTGTTACTGAATGAGTTCTTTCTCAATTGTCACAGGGCAGAGATTCAACAATTTAGAAAATTCCACTGAAGTCAATAATATTAGACACAACTTTAAAGAGCATTAGTTTATTATCTATTCTCCATGTGTTACTTCAGAAACAATTTAATTATATACAAAAATTTGGAATGCTGAATAAATCATGATCAATAAAAACATGTTGCTGAAAAGGGAATAACTGCTTTTAAAATAAGTAGTATACAGTAAATTAATGATAACGTCTTGCTTCTGTGTGTTGTTTATTGCTATGATTGTGTTCCTAGGATGTGTTCAAGTATATACACAATTTTAAAACTCCAGTCAAAAAAGTAAAAAAAATTATTTACACAATAAATATTTGGGGTTTTAACCAGAATTTTTGTTTGAACTGATTCTTTAATGAACATAATGAAAAGAGCACTCAGTTGACAAAGAGTATATTTGTTCTATAACAAATCCATCAATTCTGCAAATATATTGTATTCACAAGATGAGAAATATTAAAAATCAATGGTTTCAGAATAGTTCCACTGCATTCTAAATGAGCCTCTTCTTCCACAGATTCTCTCCAATAAAGTATTCTGGCCACATCCTAACACAAAGGTAGTGCATTTAAAAGTAGTCCTTTTACCCCAGAACTGATAGCTATTATCAATGATTAATTCCAAAACTAATTTTCCTTCTTATATTAAAGAACCTAGAAGCACCAATTTTCTTTGTATTCTCCTTACATATACTGATCATTCTGGCAACTTGTTATACAAAACTATTCCAAATAAACTCCTAGTAGTACAATTGACAATGCTTATTATTCATATGAATTTCAGAGTATTTGAATAGCTTATATCTTGTACAAAAGGAGAAATTTAAGTCCATGATCAATAAAGAATCAGTTCTGAGTTGGGACTTTTCATCCTTCACATAATTATAGTTTTATGTCTGAGATCAGGTTAGGATCAATCTTTTTGTATTCCCTTTAAAAGGCTGAGTTTACTGATACAGCTGGAAGTGATGAGTATGGTTTTTAAACTGTTGATAAAAAATAATTAAAAAGAAGACACTTTTAAAGCAAGGTAACACTGAAGCCTGCCATAATATAGTTATGTTTCTTGGGATTAACAGCACACAGAAAATAAGTAAATTTTACCAAAATACAGCACATTTCTGCTAATATAAAAATCAATTCCTATGTAAATATCAATGAAAACCAACTAAAATTAATGTACAAAGAGTTGTTAAAGGGTTTCAGTTAAAATTATTAAAAACTATACACATTACAATATGCAGTTGATAACTTCTTTGAAGTGCAATATCACTGGAGTTTGTATATCTAGAAAGGACTATCTGTTAAGCATGTAAATTCCTTTCTATTCCAGCATTTCTTTCCAAAATCTACAGTAGGCTGGTGTTTTTGCTGGGTTTCTTTTTAAAACTACCAATTTCTATTTATTAAGAACTGCAGTAATTGAATATTGCTCCAATGACAGGTTAATCATTCACCTTTAAAAAACAGTTATTGGTCTTCTATGGCACTTTTCTCTGGTCCATAATAACCATGTATTACTTATTACCCCACAAGTTAGACAATTTCTTCTCTGTTACATAAGGAGAAAAGAAGAAAATAAACACGCTCATCATAAACAAAATTAACTCTGTATAATCCAATATTTTATAAAAGTAATAAGGAACCAAGGCAGCCTGTGGTAAATCACTATTACATTAATATAGTTAGAAACCCTTTAATGACTCTGAAGTGTCTAGTTCACATTGAATGTTACCTGTAAAAAGAGCCCTTTGAGAACGATCATTACAAACTGGTGGGCTCCAAGTACCCATCCCTTTGTCCTATAACTTTCCAACAGCAATTCCTGTGCAACAGTTTCACAAAAAAACAACAACCTGGCTTTGGTAACTTAGCTCCATACTTATTGTTTCCTTTTAGTCTAACAAGGCATTTCAAGGCCAAATAAAATCAAGACTTCTGTCAGAACCCTTCTTGAACCATTTACTCCTGGGCAGCCCCCTCTCCTCATAGGGCTCTCTGCCATAAGCCCCATTTTAAAAATGAAGCTTTCTCCGGCAGAACAATTAAGAAGTTTGAAACATGCACATACATGGTATATATGTGTGTGTGATGAGTTACATACAGGCAACACAGTAAAAAAAACCAAAAACTGGCCATTTCAGTTTGTTTTTTTTAAAAAATCTATAAATAAATTGAAAATGAAATATTTAACACAAGGCAGAAGAAAATTACCTTTTTACACAAAACTGGGGATTTTCATAACAGAGAGCATTCTCTCAATAGCACTCCACAGCACAAATGAAAAAATAGTGATTAAAAACAGATACTTAAAACTGAATTACATATAGGTAATAATACAGTGGGTGAATGTGATATGAGCCAATCCTGCAGAACTCCCAGAAGTATATTTATAGTCCCTGTAAAAAGACTTCACATTTTATTGCATTTTTCTACTGGTAGATATACATTCTCATTTGAACCCCTTCCTTTCATTCCTTGTTTCCCTACTTTCTTAGCCATTTTATCTGGCCTTTTAAATTAATCCAACCAGCTTCACCTTCCATCTACCCATTCATCTATACAATAAGCACATAGCAAAACCAACATTTCAGATCTCTTATCCACATCTACAGAAGTGGTTTCAATAAAGAAATTAAAACAAGGTGATCAAAAAATAAAGGCAACAAATAGCAACAGGACAGAAATCCCTACCATCTGTCCATGGGATACAATGGAGGCTCCTTGTACAGATATTTAGTAATGTGTATGATTTATCCAAAAATAAACCTACCATCTGTACAAAATTCACCACAGGTTTGTTCTTGGAGGAGTGATCTTTGATTGCTACAATGATTTAAACTCAACAAGGTCTGTTGCCTTTTGCATTTCCAAAACTGTTTCCTCTATGTTCTTTAAGTGGTTTTCCCCCTATAACCACAAGTTCATTATTCTATTTCTGTACATAATTTTAAAAGTTTTTGTATAGAAAAATAATCAAAATATTCATTATCCCACAAGTCTTTCCGAGGATCACAGAGATGTTATCCCTTCCTCCATAGTATTTAGGAAAGCTCTCGAACAATGATGAGTTCCACTGCACTCTGAAAAGTCTTTAGTAAAGACACTGCTTGCCCATGATCAATGTCGATGAAGCTATATCCATTAGCCTAGAAAGGAAATGAAATCCCAATAAATGCAAAGCAACATGTTTTCAGTGTGATTTTTAAAAAATTATATTACTAAGAGTTAAATTAAAACTGTTACTTTTTATAATTAGCAGAAGGGAATTCCATGTGTTAAATTAGTAGTAGGAAAGTAAAACTACAGTGGTGCCTTGCTTAACGATTACCTCATTAAACTATGAAACCACTTGACGATGAAGTTTTTGAGATTGCTTCTGCGATCACAAAATGATGTTCTAATAGGAAAAATTCGCTTCACGATGATCGATACTCTGCTTCGAGAACCGATTTTTTTGCTAGATGACGATTTTAAAACAGCTGATTGGCAGCTCTAAAATGGCCACCCGCTGTGCAAAATGGCTCCCCGCTGTGCTTTAGGACGGATTCCTTGCTATACAGGCACCGGAAAATGACCACCCTATGGAGGATCTTCGCTTTACAATGAGGTATTTAGCCCACTGGAACGCATTGAACCAGTTTTCAATGCATTTCAATGGGCTTTTTCGTTTCGCTTGACAAGGATTGCGCTTAACAACGATTTGAACGGAACGAATTATCCTTGTAAAGCGAGGCACCACTGTACTGTTAAGATTATAAAGTTACCATGCTCTGAGAAACACATTTTTAAAAACTCTTATTTGTTAATTATAAACTCAAAAACGAATGAACCCTTTCCTCTAAAAACATTCTATTATGAGAATGATGAAAAGGAGAAATCATCTAGTGGCTATTTCTCATCCACAAGCTGAGAGAATGAACTGGATTTAACCAAAATCTTAAGAGCAATATAGTAGGAACAGAGCAAGAGTGAGTGAAAGCATCCAACACATATTTTTCCAGACTAATAATACCCTACTGGTTTAGCACATATATTTCTCTTCTATTTCACAGGATGTTTCTTCATTTCTATTTTTCTCTTTGCGTATTTCAAGCAGTAACCAAATGCTGCTGTATCTTCTTTTTCTGCATCACTGAAATAATCTCAACATCTCTTATCTAGGCTATATACATCTCTTCTTTGCTGATCGTCCCACTTATTAGTCTCTCAGTCTTTTTATCAGGGCACAGTGCTCTCAAAGCATTTATATTTGTACCTTTCATTATTACAGCAAGAAACCCATCTAAAACCAAGTCATGGGGATCTACTAGTTTTTGGTTAAAGGAATTATCATTTTCAATTGCATCAAAAGTAGCAGAAGTCAAGTAAACAAGAACTTTGAAAAAAAAACTGGTTGGTAGCTTTAGTAAGAATGGTTTCAGTGAAGCATTAAAGGGTTAAGGGAGAAAATGAATATCTAACAAATTACAATCTTTTGGAGATGGAATTATACCAAGCTTCAATGCAGTAGGAAGATCCAAAAAGAAGAATTAATATAGTAGCGTGAAGCCCTGAGTCTTTCTGAAGTAAATGGTGATTTAGGGATCACCTGGTGGCAGCAAGTATAAAAAGAGTGAGGTTTGTTTGCCTTCGTGTGCTCTGGGGCTTGAAGGTCAAGCAAGGGGCACGAGGGTGGACACCACACATGTCGTCAATAAAATTCTGCTATTTATTCTTGCAATCTGATTGTGATCTCAGATTCAGATAAAGCCATTGCAGCACTAATAACAAAAACAAATAAACCTGCTGTTTTATATTACCTGAATAATTTTATCTCCTGGCTGCAACAGTTTAGATGCTGGTCCTTCCGGCTGTACCCTGGTTACAAATATACCCTTGGAAAAATACATAAAAATATGAATACAAATAGAGAAATGTTAATATATATGAAACCAATTAAAATTATTTCTAATTTTGTTATTATTTCAAGCGAAATTAAAGACTGTGTTTTGATACCAATGTGTAGTCAAAACTTGAGGAAAATGTTCTAAGAAGTAGTCATGTTAGTCTATTGCAGCAAAAAGAACAAGGAATATGGTGGCACATTAACATTTGCAGGATTTTTTCCCGGCATACACTTTCATGGCCTGCAGCTCACGTCTCCAGATGCATTTCTAAATGAGAAATACAACTTTTCAGTTTTCAAGATAGCATAAGATTCTGTTGTATATTGGGGAAAGGTTTCCATGCCACAGCCTGTATCATCTAGAAATCCAGGGATGGAATGAATTCAAGTACTGCACAACTGCTGGCTGTAGATTTCTGTACAAAACCAAAGGGGAAGAGGAAGGGTACTTGGGATTTGCAGCCCAACATTACACACCGGAATTGGCTCAGAGAAACATAAGTCAAAAGAGTAGGCAATGAAAACCATGTCTTGGGGCTAAGTCCTCAATATTGCAGAAATTAGGAAGGACCTAATGCTGTCATACTACAGACAAACTGCTTCCCCAAGTGAAACTGGAGAGGATAATTCCCCTCTTTATAACATCCTAGTAAAGGTAAACCGGAATTGGCTCAGAGAAACATAAGTCAAAAGAGTAGGCAATGAAAACCATGTCTTGGGGCTAAGTCCTCAATATTGCAGAAATTAGGAAGGACCTAATGCTGTCATACTACAGACAAACTGCTTCCCCATGTGAAACTGGAGAGGATAATTCCCCTCTTTATAACATCCTATGCACCCCCAAAACCTACTACAGAGGGCTATGAAACATGCATTAACAAGTTTGTGGTTAGCATGGAGGGCTGCAAAGAGAGGAGGAGAAGAAAGCCTTATTGTGCTAAAGCAGTGGTCTCCAACCTTGGGCCTCCAGATGTTCTTGGACTTCAACTCCCAGAAATCCTGGCCAGCAGAGGCGGTGGTGAAGGCTTCTGGGAGTAGTAGTCCAAGAACATCTGGAGGCCTAAGGTTGGGGACCACTGTGCTAAAGGACATAGTGCAGTGGTTCCCAACCCTGGGCAACCCAGGTGTTCTTTGACAGCAACTCCCAGAAGCCTTCACCATTTTTTGTGTTGGCCAGGGTTTTTGGAAATTGCACTCCATGAAGACCTGAGTTACTCAAGGCTGGGAAGCACTGCCCTAGCGCAATGCTGAGACTAACCTAATTATAATTACCCATTATGCCAGTCTTTAACTGACCCTAATCCATAATATACAATTCAACATGACACATTCAGGGGGAGTGCCATCTAATTTCTATCTCATCCTTCTGCTCTGAGGAACCTTAAACTTTGCTGAGGCAAAGGGTCTTGGGATACTTTGTCCATGCAGAGGTTAGGAATTCTCAGCCACACTTCTTTTGCAATTTTACATGCAGATACCCAGCAATATACTGTATTTGTGGATATCTGCTTCTGGGACCTGTGGTCTAAAGAAAGCAAGATTCCAAGCTTGTGAGAAAAGGTGTATTATTTCATTTTCCACACACAAGTGGAGTAAATCCTTTTTTACTATTCTTTTTGCCATCCTCTCCATCACCCTTTTTACCATCTTTATTGCCATCTGTTTTAATTTAATTTCCCTAATCATGTGTTGATTTATTTTTATCGTGTTTTTAATATTATAATCCTTATATTGTTGTTAGCCACCCAGAGTGGCCTGGTTCCAGATGGTACGTGATATAAATTCAAATAATAAAATAATTAAATTAAATTTTAAAATATATGTTTGTGTGTGATTATGTATGTGTCCCCAAACTCTGATAACTTCTGTTGTAAGCTCCTGTAATTCTGTAAGGATGCAAGTATACATTTCAAGATAGTCTATATATGGTTGACCAGTTAGCACCATGTCCTTAAATGTATGCATTAACATCACTGAAAAAATAAACAATATTGCATTGTATGTATTCTAAACATACATTTTTAAACAAACTCAACTTTATAGTACTCACATCATCATCAGGCCTGAAGGGGTTTCCTCTGCCACCAATTCCTCCTGATATACTAAACCCAAGCTCTGGATCTTTTTCAATTCTCACTCGAATCTAAAATATAAAACAGGTGATTTAATATACATACTGTGCATCAAATATAAAACAATACATTTCAAACAGGGTTAACTACATATTGATGTCCTACAAAAATGAACAGATGACCCATACAACTACTAATTATATTGATAAATTTATTGTTTCCTGCTTTATTTCTCTAATCAGTTTGTAGATTTTTTCCCAATTTATTGCTGTATATCTGGTATATTTTCATTGTTCATACTAGTACTTCAAACTACCTTGAGAGATGGTTAAAATGTCTTTATGTTCAAAGTTACAGCACAAATATATCAGAAGAAATAAATAATTTTCTCTAAGCTTCTGGCGATATTTTGGAAAAATTTAAATGAGAGCAAAAACATTAGCAGTAAGGATCATAAGTAACTGTTATTTTAGGGTGCCTCACAGAGGATATCCATAGGGTCAAACTGTAATAACAGCAGCCAAACTTTACCACTGCTAGAATGGCTATGCCAAAGCATCACTAAATATTTGTAATGCACTCCAGCAGCAACCTGAGAAACAGCAAGGCATCATTTTTGTTCTTACCTCCTGCTTTGCCAGCTCGTGGCACTGCCTGGATGGACCCTGGGGCTGACTATAAGGAGGCTGATGGGCAACTTTAAGCATTAGGTAATCAATGAGCTGCTCTCTAGAAGGATGTCTTGCAACATTTGCCTGGGGTGCAGGATGATGGACTTGACTATAGTTCGCCTGAGGTCTTGGGGGCTGGCACATTTGCCCATTCATCAAAGGTATCTGAATAAATGACACACCTTTAAGCAACTTTTTACTTCAGCTATTTTGATATCTCATGCCTTACTCAATAATAGTTTTGTAATGCTCACATGGTATGACTTTAAAACAAGACCATTAGATTTCTCAAAACAAAATGAAATAGAATAATTTCAAAAATCAAAATTTATTCATCACAGAGCAGAAGGACTCCTAAAACGCTCAACTAATCAATGTCAACTGAGAAGTATTCTAGGGGAAAGCATTCTTGCAGATTTTACAGGATATTCCCTGCTCCCATTAGAAATTTCCAAATGACTGAGAACTTGCCAATGTATTAGCTGTGTCATTTAATATAAAAAGCTACCTAAAGATGATCTTCCACAAAATCAGAAACACTAGTCAGTGTGAGGAGCTAATACTGGGAACTAGTTTATAACTATCTTTTATGCTACTAAGCAAAGACACTGTGCAACTATTTTGAGTTTTCTTCTTTAATGGATTTTCTGTGGTAGAAAAACAATGGAAGTAAATCAGTGCAAAATAAGATGTTACAAGAACTACCTGCAAAATTCTATGAATGGGGCAGGTCTATTACATTATAAAAATCTCTGAGATTTTGAACAAAGTGGTATAAATTAATATAAGTAAAAGTCATGGCAGATGTATGAAGAACTTTTAAAAGATGTGATGTAATGTGAAAGATGAACTTGAGAATAGCTCGTGTTTTCTTCAGTTAACATATCCTCTAAGGAGAGCTTGATTTACTGATTTACTGGTACCAATTTAGTTAGTTCACTAGCAGCTCATTCAGACCAACAATTGTGCATGTAAAAAATTGTTAGTTCTTTTTCTTTTTCCATTTTGCATTACTTGCAGTTAAACAATGGTCTTGTTTGGGCAAGCTGTTACATAATGATAACTACAATTAACTGAAAACTAAAGTGAACATTTCTAAGTTCTTCACAGCTGCACTTGGAGTTTTTTAACAAGAAAACCCCCACATAACTGCATTATGTCCAAATCAGATACTTGTGCCCAAACCATACACCTGTTGATGGTTAATGACATGCAGCATTAGTACCTGCACGGGAAGTTTCTTAATGCCATCTGGAGCAACATCTTTGAGACTAAGCGTGGCAGACTGGTAGTTCTGCTGCCCAGAAATGAAAACATCCTCTTGACATTGTTCTGCTGGAGTGGATGTCTGGGGATGCTTTAAGTGAAAAGCAAATAAATATAAACATTTTTGCTACATTCAGCACACTTGCAAAGTTATTCAGATGAATGTTAAGCATATATTAATCCTACTAATCAGCCCTGAGATGGCTGTAAATGTTAACCCTGGTATTTGGAAAACACTGGAGCTATAAAAAGGCTTAGAACTGCACAATAAAACCATTTACAAAAATAGCTGCTATTTAAGTATTTGCAATTATAACATAATAGCCTTTTATTAATTTTGCGTGACTGAACTATTTTAGTCTATATGAATAGTTGTACACAGAAATGCTACTATTTATTTTCCTTTGAGAAATGAATAGTAATGCAGTCATTTTCATTCCACTGCAGATATAGGAGATTCTGTTTCAACACAGCTCATAGCAGCTCTGCTATGAACCATACAGCAAAGTAATAGTAACACCTGAAGGACACTATTACATTTTGTAGGCTACAGTAGAGAGCTATATCCATGTTCCAAGGACATTGACGATATAAATGTTACATACTGGGATGCAACAGAATAAAGGTCGAAAAGTAGGGCTTCTGTATTTCTTTATACTCCACCTCTCCCCCCCACACACACACAAATGGGACTTAAGGCAGCTAACACAATGTGACTAAAGATGAAGTCAAACCAACAAGAAATACATGCTTATGTACTGTAATTCCTTATGCTTAGGTTCAGAACAAGATGAAAACTACAAAGTTAAGCCAAATGTCATATGGAAGAGCTGTAAGAATTAAGGACAGCAAGCACAGTTATGGAAGAGGGGATCCTCAAGTACTCAATGAAGCTGCAGAAGTGAAGTTGACAAAGTAAATACCAGGAAACAATTTAATGAAATACAGGGAGGGGAACAAAGCTATGTAGGTTACAAAACTGGACTGGATAAAATACAAATCCAAGGGCAGGTGATACCTTTATGAACAACAGAGACTATATACATGAGAGTCCCAAAAATTCATGGCAGATTATTGTGCCTGGTCTACATCTTAAGGCGAGTTGAAATGCAAGCTGCAAATGCCATTGCACATGTGGTTTCAAACTGCATACCAGGTTGCAGCTGGGCGGATTTCTCCTCCCAATTCTTCAAACAAAGTACTGTACTGCTAAATAACCTGCATTTAACTCCCCTCCCATTACCTTCTTTGGCTGAGGGTGGAAAGGAGGTAATACAGAAAAGTGGCAAGCCTCCATTAGAGAATTGGGATTAACATTTAGTCCACCTACTAGAAGAAGCCAATTGAAGCCACATTACAAGTACAGTATTACCTAGTAGAGGTATGCAGTTGTTTTCTTCAGTTTGCAATCCTGCTTGGCTGATGTAAGACTTCATCTTGTCAGTCTATCTACCTATCTATCTGTACACACAGAGAGAGCACTAATTCACAAAATCTTGGTCCACAGACTGAGAAAGATTTACTAACATCATAAACCAGCTGTTTGTTTGATTTCTTAGTGGTCTGACAAAGGTATCTTGTGCTCTTGCATTTGTATTGTGTAAGGATCACATGTCCTTTTCTATTTTTTTCAGGACTGGATAAGACCCTAGTATAGCAATTTAAAGACATGAATGATATGGGCTGAAAGGTAAATTGTTTAAGTGATAAAGATGCAAGAAAATGTAAGAACAGAAGGCCAGAAAGAAAAAAAGTTAGAGCAACCAAGAGGAGGTGTGACCATAATATGAACAGAATTTTTTGCTAAGAGAGCAGACAATGAGAGTTGCATTTTTCTCTATGGAAAAGTGACATGGTTTAGGAATGGACTAAGGAGGGTATCAAAGAAAAGTAAAAGCCTTATGTCTGATCAGTATTATGGACAGATGTCAGTGGTCTAAGACAGTGTTCCAGAAGTAAAAGGCACTTGAGGACAATTCGACCTTGTATAACAAGAAAGGAAATATATATATAACAGAATTTAAAAAAAAATAACATGCAAAAATCCAAGATGTAAAAATGTAGATATTAAAATACAGCAGGAGGGAAAGCCTGCCTAAATTGCCATGTCTTAAGTTTACTTCTAAAGACACCCAGAGAGGGAGCCAGGCGGATCTCTACGGGCAAGTTGTTCCAGAGGCGAGGGGCCACTGCCGAGAAGGCCCGGTTCCTCATTCCTTCCTTGCGGGCCTCCTTCGGGGTTAGGCCCCTCAATTGCCCGGCCTGGCTAGAATGAGTGTCTCTGGCAGAACTGGGTGGGAGAAGGCGCTCTGCCAGATATTGAGGTCCTAAACCATTTATGGCTTTATAAGTAATCGTAAGAACTTTGAAATCAATGTGAAAACAAATGGGCAACCAATGCAAGGCAGCCAGCGTGGGGGAAATATCTTGGTGCCTCTTCACCCCAGTTAGCTTTAAAAAAAGCTAAATGCAGATTAAGGGAGATGGTGGACACAGACACACTTTCAGAACTGCTCTGCCTTCAGAAATGGCCACCTGTCATACTTTAATAGAAACTATAAAACCTAAATATTAAGAGGAAAAATTATTCAATAATTGAGATTATTGAATCATCACATTACAATACAACCAGAATCAACCATAACACAAATCACACAAATTATAGAAGTAGATTGCTTTAAAGACATATTCTTTGCAATGCTTTACCAACAATCATCTTTTTACACATGTACTCACACGAATAATATGAAAACCAGAACTTCTTCCGTCTGCAACACTCAGGGCAACATTGCCCTGGCTGCCATGCAGATCCCTAGAGCTGCCATAGTGAAAGCTGCTAACTGGTGCATAATTGGAATTAAAGGACCTAGACAGCATGCTCTAAATAAAGAGGGGACAGATAACAGAGATTAGTGCAGCATGCGTAAACCACCAGACATGTTATACACAGAGTCAGTCAGTACAGACACACATATTGCAGATCATGCAAAAAAATATCATGCATATAAAGGGTAACATCCAGTATGAAATCCAAATCTCAGTGGCACAGTGGTCTCTTGCAATGTAACTGAAATTGCAACCTGACAAACAAATTACTTGAAAACAAGTCCATTCAAATGTGGCCAAAGAAAACAAACATTCCATTTTCACATTTTAAACACAGGCAACATACGCTATCATTAGCTTTGGTGACAGAAAGGGGATAACTGAAATACACTTTGGGAGGGAAAGGTTCTGAGTAAAATGCCCAAAGCATTATTTCTTCAATACAAAATAGGTGATTTTCAAACTTTTTTTATGATTAAAAAAAATAAAATAAGGATAAATACAGTTTATAAAGCTTTTTGTCAAATTTAGAAAAAGTATACAGGATATGTTCCGATTTTTTACAATGCCATTTGGATTTTTCCCCCTTTTGGGAGCTACGTGACAGCTCTTTTTCAGGCCTATTTTGACAGCCCGTTAGTTTTACCCTGTTTCCCCGAAAATGAACCCTAACCTGAAAATAAGCCCTAGTATGATTTTTCAGGATGATCATAATATAAGCCCTACCCCAAACATAAGCCCCAGTTAAGTGAAACCCCACCCTCCGCCATTGTGCAGCACCCAGAAGATGACATGACTGTATTTGAATGAATGTAGATTGAGGTACATGAAAAAAAAACCCTGAAAATAAGCCCTAATGCGTTTTTGGAGCAAAAATTAATATATTAATTAATAAGACCCTGTCTTATTTTGGGGGAAACATGGTAAACCACCAACTTTTACCACAGACTTTTGTGAAGAACACAAAAACAGATGCAACAGAGATCAAAGGAAGAGTTTTTGAAAATTAACTGACTTGTAAATTGAATTAGCGTGTTGCTATAAAGATCAAAACACAACTGCAATGCCAGAAATGTCTGCCATATTAACAGAAGGTAACAGGGGAACAAAAGAAATGCACAAAAGGTAACATCCTAAGAACTATTAGAAGACTTCATGATATCATTTTCCCCCTTCTCTTTTTAAAGGCAACTAACAAGAACAAATGAAACAAAAAGAATAAGTGAAAGAGTGTTGTTAAATTTAACACAACAAAAATTAAAAGCATAAAGAGTTAAAATTGTGCTTGAAGGATGCCCCAAAAACATTAAAACACATTACAACAGATTCAGACTGTGACTACACGGTCACTGTGCGATTTGTTCCACTTACAAAATAGAAGAATTCAAATCTTTTTTTACTGATCATTCATTCATTCATTCATTCATTCATTCATTCATTCATTCATTCATTCATTTATACCCCACCTATCTAGTTAATTACGACCACTCTAGGCAGATCACACGACACAAAAGCCATTTCGAATCAGTCAGGCCCTTTTTGCTCACTATGCAGTTTTTTCTCCACTACTAGGGGCTTCTTTTTTCAAGCTGGAGCAATTCAAACAGGCTGTTTTGCTCTGCAAAAGGAGGGGTGCATCTGTGGGTGGTGCTGCAGTGGTATAGGCAGTTGGGGGCATGATCTTTGGGGACTGCAGGAATATTCTCCCCCATGATTTCCCCCCAGTGTCCCTGAATGAATCAGCTAGTGCTGATTCATTGCATCAATACATTAGCATTAGATCACCTGTGCCCGGGGGAAAAGGTAGGAAAGTAGGAGCTTTTTGGCTGCCCAGCTGAGGCAGAACCCTAAAAAGAAGCAAGGCAAAGGGAAGGGATGGAAAGATAGGTGGGTAGGCAAGTTGGTGGTGCTTGTGAAGGCAGTTGTGCCCTTTGAGTGCAAAGCTTCAAGCTCAGGGTGTCTGAGTGCAAAGTCTGCAGCCACAAATGAGAGTGGCTGGCAAGGCATGGAAGGGGGTGGGGAAGTGCCCAAGGTTACTCTAAACACAGAATCTGGCACATTGCGCAGCCTGCCAGCCATTCTGATTTGTGGCTGCAGAGATTTCTTTCCACTCACCAACAAACAGAGAGCAACAGCAGACTTTCCAGCATCAACCAGCAGCTGATACGAGAGAGCTGGCAGAAAACTTGCTATGGACACTTCCAGGCACTATTGTTTCCACCTTCTTTGACACCACTAGCCCCTGTCACCCCCTCTTGACATTTTAATGTCCCTGTCTTATCTAGTGAAAGGGTAGAAAAGTCAGCAAGGACAGTGAGGGGACTGCACATGCGGCTAGAAGTTGTGAATGCTTCAATCTCCCTTCCCTACACACCACTTGCCTTAGTGAGAAAGTGAGTGCCAACCCTTTGGAACATGGCATGGTCCTCCATCCCTGTCTAATCTGTGAGTGACAACTCTGGTCTGCTCTTATCTCACCTGAGAGGCAGGAATAAAGGAAGGAATGTGGATTGTGCCAACAGTGGCATTGTGAAAAATACACTTTGGGAACTCTGTCCATGTGGTTTGATACTCCTGTTCAAGCTGGATTCTGAATAGAAAGAAGCACTCAAGATCATATTGCAAATATCTGCTAGCTACTAAAGTTCACCAAAGAATTTCAGAAGATCAGTCTATGCTTTATAGACTACAGCAAAGTTTTTGACTGTGTAGATCATGAGAAACTATGGATTGTTCTGAAAGAAACTGATGTGCCTCAGCACTTGATAAGTCTGACACATAAGTTGTATTGTGAACAATAAACTACCACTAGGACAGAATATAGAGAGATGCAATGGTTTCCTATAGGCAAAAGTGTCAGACAAGGGTACATTTTATCTCCTTATCTGATCATTCTGTACACAGAACAAATCATACAGAAAGCCAGACTAGATTCAGATGAAAGAGGAGTGAAAATTGCTGGAAGAAACATATAATTTAAGATATGCAGATGATACCATATTACTGGCAGAAAGCAGCTTGAAATGACTTCATGACTTCTGGGGAAAGTGAAGGAAGAAAATGCAAAGCAAGGCAGCTGCTGAACATTAAGACAATGAAAATCATGACTATAGAAGAACTTTATAACTTTAACATTGACAATGAAGAAACTGAAACAGAGATTTTGTACACCTTGGTTCAGTCATCAGGTCAAATGGACACTGCAGTCAAGAAATTAGAAGGCTTGAGACTTTGAAGAGCAACAACGAAGGAACTAGAAAAAAAATCATCAAGTATAAGCATGTGTCACCAGAGACAAAAGCCAAGATCACCCACACTCTTTTATTTCCAATCAGCATGACAGGTGGACAACAAAGAAAGCTGATAGGAAAAAAATTGATTGATTTAAAATATGGTGCTGGAAGAAAGCGTTGCAGATACTGCAAAGAATGACTATCTGTGGAAGTAAGAATGCTGAAACTGAGGATCTCCTACTTTGGGCACATCATGAGAAAGCAGGACTCTCTAGAAAAAACAATGATGCTGGGAAAGGTTGAAGACAGCAGGAAAAAAAGAGATGGACTGGCTCCCTAAAGAAAGCCACAAGAGCTGAGCAGTGCTGTTGAGGACAGGACGTTTCGGAGATTGTTCACTCATTCATAAGGTCACTATAAATCAGAGATGTCTTAAGAGTACATGCAACAGCAACAATGACAACACATCAGTGTAGTGCTCTTTTACTTTGCAGTGGTTCTCCTATTGCTGAAGGTTCCCTATTGTTTTAGGGAACATAGCACAAAAACATCGGACTAAAGCAAAAAAGGAAAAGAGGAAAAAAAGGAAAATGAAATAGCCGTTACAGCACTCTCTGGGCAGTTTACATGCAGGCTACACATAGCCCCAATGCCCAGTGAGCTGGGTACTCATTTTACTGACCTTGGAAGGATGGGAATATTGAGCCAGCTAACTGGGATTGAACTCCAAATCATGAGAATAGGTTTGGCTGCAATACAGAAACTTAACCACTGTGCTATGAGGCTCTCTAACCTTAGCCTGGTCTAATCATTCTGCAAAATGAGGTCCTGGGGCATATCATTTAAAAAATATAGGGGGTAATCCTATTTTAGAGTGCCCCGATATAATATTTTACAATCAAGAAACATGTCACAGTGCAGAGTGCTTTGTTATCTGTTTAAAGGTAAAGGTTCCCCTTGACATTTTTAGTCCAGTCGTGTGACTAGGGAACGTCGGCCAACGTGACTAGGGAATGTCGTTTTACCTCCCCACTGAGATGGTACCTATTTATCTACTCACATTTACATGCTTTCGAACTGCTAGGTTGGCGAGGAGCTGGGACAAAGCAATGGCAGCCCACTCCGTTGCGTGGATTCGATTTTACGACTGCTGGTCTTCTGACCCTGCTTCTGCGGTTTAGCCCGCAGCACCACCATATACAAAATATGACACCTGGAAGAGCAGTAAAAGGCAGCATCCCAATTCCTACCCCCTCATATCATTGCTATAACTACAGATCTATCCTACCTACTTAGGTTTGTTTATGAAATTGAAAACTTATCCTGGCTCTTGAATAGGAGATCTGTTTGAGTACTTTGGCCTATATTCTTTTAATAGCTTTTCCACCAGTTTCACATGTGGAGTTCATTATCCCTGATGTGACCTTTATTGAATTCAATCTCAACAGGGGCTAATTTAAAAAAAACTATTGCTGTAATCCAAAATATACACTGAAATGGTGAAAGATGGATATAACTACATTACTATAGGAACTAAAAGTAACTCTTCCATGAAAAATATTAATTTTAAGTGAGCTCTTCCAAAAAGCACCATAGTAACTAAGTACATCCGTGTTTCACAAATTTCATGAAAAATATTTCATATTAGTTAAGAAATGAGAGCAAATTCTGATTCTTAAAACTGCTATCATATTGGAACCATATTAATTGTTGCTAGACTTTTATGTTGTTTTAATTATGGTATCTAAAGAAATCATTCAAGACCCACCTACAGGATGTCCTTGTTTTGACAGTATTTCCTTGTCACAGTTAAAAACAACC